GAAAGAATATCCTTAAAATCGGAATGGGCAAGACATCCTGAAATTTAGCATTGTCTTACATCCTATAGAAGAAATACCTTAGTCTGTCACAGTCAGCATATTGACTTTAAGTATTCAATATCCCTTCAGTCAGCAATAATCATTTTATAAACCTTATAAAAGCATAAAATACATATAAACAAGTTAACTATTTAATATTCTTACATTCCCCTCTTTGAGCAATAAAACAATTGCTCATCTTATCGATAAAATCTTACCAGGACAGAGAAACTTCCACATGGTATTTTCAGGGGTGCTAGTCACTCCCTGCGGGACTTTCATTAATTTCTTCACCTCGATTCCCATGTGGTAATTCCTAAGGCCCAGTTTAAAGATGGGTTGATACTCTCCAGTGGCAGAGAGGAGAATTTCTAATTGTTTCTGTTCTGCATTATGGATTAATTTCTGTACTCTCTTCCTCAATGTACAAGTAAGGTGACAGTTATATAAAATCATACACAATAAAATCAGGACTATAATAACAAAATGATAGAAGAATGATTTCATTATCTGGGATCCAGTAGGGGACCAACCAGTGAAGCATCGTACCAATGATGGGCTAAATCATTCTGAATTTGTGAACTCACCTTAAGGAGTTCTCCTTTTAGGATATGTGTGGCTACCTGTGTGTGTACTAGAGCATCATTATGTGTAACAAGATGTTTAAACATATTTTGTTTTCCTTTCATTAAGGAGACAATAGTCTCAAGAGGTAAATGGTAATCTTCAAAAGGCAGCGAGCCTAATAGGGCATTAACATGTTTGTCTAAAGTAATTGTGTCGCTGAAATAATATTGGGTGCCATTAAGATCTAACCAGGTAATATTAGTCAAACATCCTGAAAAAGGGAGAGGTAGATTAATACTTGTAGTGCTAGTAATTATCTTTGTAGGGAGATTAGTTGCTAAACAGATATGTCGTGTGCTTATTTCTGTCATGGTAAAATAATTTTCAGGATATATGTGCCATATACATTTGTTAAGTTCATTTTGGAGTAAACATGGTTCGTAAATAGAGGACGAGTGTCGACATGCATATCCTTTGTCAGTGAGAACACAGTGTTTAAGGGAATAGGTCATATTATCTTTGGGAAAAATATAGTCCCCTGTGTATGTGGGTGCCCACCAGGTTAAATTCTTGGCAAAGAGATCATAAACTGGTACTGGTAATGTGTTAAATTGACAAGCTAATTTAACATCCTTTGATGTTGTATGATATAATGTAAAATAGCATGAGCATGAAAAATGTGATACAGTACCAGTTAACCATTCATTGCATTTAGTGGATTGGGGTTTCAGAAGTAACCATTCATTATCTGTGAGGTTAAGCATTCCTCTAATCTTCTCTAATTTAGGAATCATTAGTATGTCTTCTAATGCCGATCTTTGGTGTTGCATCCATAAATACCTGATGGCACAAGTACTCCAATTACTTAGACCTGTTGTGAATTTCATAGTTGCAACAGTTAAATTATCTAAATAATTATACATTGATTTATCTAAATCCAATCCTGTAACCTGTGATTTAACAACAGTTGGAGCCCAGTTTGCAGTAGCATGAAAACCAGTCCCTATATGCATACTGGCTGTGTTTAACTTATTCTTGAGGGTCTCCATGTCTATACTATTTAGTATACCCATAGTGGTTCCAGCACCTCCTAACAGTGTGTCATACCATTCCCTTTTCTGCCTTTTGTTTGCTGTGTTACATAATGTTACAACAGGAGTAGTGATTTTTAATGACACATGTACAGCTTGTAAGAAGACAGTTGTATTAACACATGTGGATGGAATAGGTGTGTGTGTGTCGTTGTTGACTTTTGGTTCTATGTTAGAGGATAAAGGACAGTAATAAGGTGTAAAAATATAAGGTAGTGTATAGTTCTCAATTGCAGTGTCATTCATAATGACTAACATTTGTCCCTTTTTTCAATTAATGGTACCAGTTGTATAATCATTATTAAAAGTAATAAGGCCTGTTTGTTTACATTGATATGCAACCTTACTAATTTTCTTATAATATATATCCCAAACCTGTTTAGGTGGTTTTCTCTTACCATCAGAACTTATATTAAATAAGGTGGCACAGATACCAGTGTAATTAGCAACCTTAACTGTGCACATTTCTGTGTTATAAGATCTAACAATTTTCCGTGAACCTTCAAACAAACATAATGCATCGGTTTCATTAGCTGTAGACACATTTCATATGGGTATCTGGTACTTATAAGGGTTACTATTTGTCCAATTCATCCAAATGCGTTCATTGAATGAATGATTGCATATTGCATGCTGATAGAAAGGTGGTGGAGAAAGGTTCTTGAGGGAGCGTGTGTGACGAATGCTAGATGAGGGGCTAAGGCCTAATTGGGCTGGGGGTATTGATGAATTGTTCATCATGTCAGAGTCTTTTTTCAGAACTTGCCCTTGACTTGTACTCATAATGGCATTCAAGGAACAATATCAGAGGGAGTATAACAACTCCAGAAAGCATAGCACACAACATAATCTTGGTCTCAGGTACGTATGATCCTCTCAATCTACGATATGGTGTAAAAGCCATGATGCTTCGCTGAGGAGAAATTCTTCTGTTTCCGAGCGAGGAGTGGTGTTGTCTTCCTTGGTTCCCCTCTTTGGACACAGCTTCACTCGGGATGCGTGAATCCAGATGTCGTGGGAATCTGTGAGGACAGCGGTTCTTGGTACAGCAATCACAGTAGCAGGTGGTCCAAAAGGGTATCCTCCTTTCTTGGTCCTGTTCAGCTGACGGATATACACCTTGTCACCGGGCTGGTATGAATGAGTAGGTTCCTGTGAAGGTAAGGGAAAACTGCGAAGAAACATTGTCATACATACCATTCGGTTTTATCAACAATTCATCTTGTGGGGATATATTCTTATCTCAGCTAAAATAGCTGGTAGATATCTAGTCCAATTTTCCCATGTTCCTGGGTAAATTCTGGGCTTTTCCTTAATAGTCCTATTCATCCTTTCAACTACCCCTGTATTCTGTGGATGATAGGGTATATGAAACTGCCAGGTAACTTGCAAGAATTTAGCAAGTTCCTGGGCAACCCTACTGGCAAATACCGGGCCATTATCAGAGCCAATCTGCAGAGGGCAGCCATACCTGGGAATAATTTCAGTAACAATAATCTTCACTAGCATCTTCCCTAGATGTCACAAAGGCCTCATGCCATCTACTAAACTGATTAACTATGACCAGTAAGTATTGCTGTTTCTTACCAATTTTGGATACATGAATAAAATCAATCTGTAAGTGTGTAAAAAGAGCAGTGTTCACACGATCTTACAAAAGACTGTACATGCTGCCTGAGATTCCTAATATAAAATGAATTCATGAAGAATTGAATGGTGCTTGCTATGTGCCTGACTGATGAAAATAAATCAGCTTGCTTCAAGTATGCCTATTCTTCAAGTATGCCTATTCTCCCCTCTTTAGAGAACAGATCATTCTGATCTTTCTCTAAACCTTGTTTAATCCAAAAGACAGATTCTGGGTATTAAAAAAAAGAATCTCATAACCACTGAAGCGCTGGGCTGTCATGTGTTGTATGGTGATATTTATTATCAGCTGAGTGACCTGGTGACTGGCATAAAATATTGTAGGATGCCCTAGTGTGATAGTAGTAGCAGTTTCAACAGCCATTGCACATGCTATCAATGCTCTGAGACACGCCGGCATACCCTGTACCGGAGCTCGAACTACTTTGGAAAAGAATGCTATGGGACGCATACCGCCTCCTTGCTCTTGTGCACAGACTGCGGCCATGGTTTTACAATTGTCCCAAGCATACAAATGAAATGGTTTACAATACACAGGTAGTCCTAAAGCCTGGGCTTGCACAATAACAACTGTAAGGGCAATATATGCAGCTAGCATGTCTGGTGACCAGCAGACATTTTCAGGGCTGTCAGAACGTACAGCCTCCCTTAGGATTGAGTTATAATGGGAGCATTCAGGGATCCATTGGCGGCAGTAATTAATCATGCCGAGGAAGGTGAGCAACTCCTTCCGAGTAGTGGGTGTAGGAATCCTCTGAATGACCTCAATACGTTTTGGACTCAATTGTCTGGTGCCTAAAGCCAGAACAAAACCTAAGTATTCAACCTTTGATTTACACAATTGCATTTTGTGTTTAACAACCTTGTGACCTACAGTTGCTGACAGTATCCACAGTGCTTGCCTCAGAGCTAGGGCTACATAACAACAAATCATCAACATTTTGCAAAAAGGACGGAACCATGACCGGTGGTCCATGTTTTTTAGAGTATGTTAGAGTACCAACGAATAAACAGCTGGGGAATCCACATAGCCTTGGGTAAGCGTGTCCAGGTAAACTGACAGCCTTCAAAAGTAAAAACCATAAGTAGCTGTGTCTCTTGATCAATAGGTATAGAAAAAAATGCATTACTTAAATCAATGACAGTGAAGCAAGTGGCATCATGTGGAATGGCTGTAATGAGGGATGTCACATCAGGGACAATGGGTGAAATGGGCACAATTAAACTATTCAGGGCTCTAAAGTCCTGAACTAAGCGATATGCTGGCCAGTGGTGTTGGGAGTGGGTCTGGTGTTGTTCTTGCCTACAGGGCATATTTTGAGAAAGGTGGGGTTGTTGGGGTGTGTGGGGTTTCCTGGGGTTTCCTGGGGTGTGGACACTCATTCCTCCAGTGGCCATATTGGCCACAGTTGAAACAAGTGTTCCTGTCTATTCCTCCTTGGTTACCCCTGCCCCTATAACCCTGATTTCCCTGTCTCCATCCCCTTGCCCCTCTTTGACCACCCCTTCCACTGGCTTTATGTGCTCCATCCCATCCTCGCTCTCAGCCTGTGTAGCTGGACATAATATGTTGCAATCCCTGAGCATAATAAGCAACCTTACTTTCCTAAATCTTTTCTTAATTCAAAACAACCTGCATTTTCCTTTTCTATAACCTTGGTAAGAAAATCTGAGCTATCCAAATTGGCCCAGTCTGAAATCAATTGTTTCATAAGCAAATAATACTGTGGCAACATATTACCAAGGCATGACTGTATTTTAAAAAGATCTATATCATCTCCAGACATCAAACCTGCCTCATCCTTCCAACACTTGTAAAATTTCTTTACAAAAATCATATTACCAATCTCTTCCTTTGCATCTTGCTTATATGCCAAAGCAGTGAATATAGACTGCCTATTCTTCCATAATCCCAACATTTCAGCTTCCACCTTGTTCCAAATTTTAGCACATCTTACTGAAGTACTAAGCTCATAATCACCAATTCATTTCAAACCATATAACTCATACTCAGCATCCAATGTAATATTACACGTCATCTCACAAAGCAATATCTTTGTAGAAACACATAATGGGTACCCAGCAGATATGCCAATACAGAAATCACATTTATGGGCACACAACTACACACTCTGTCTCCCTCCTAGGAAACACGGATAGACACAATATAAAAGCAATCTTAAACTAACACCTCCAAATCTCCAACTATTCTTGGCCAAAACGCTAGTATTCAACAACTAATAAAACAGTTATTTGCTAGGTTATTTGGCTGTCATTCTTATCAGTATCACTAGACTGTGACAAACTGATTCACATATAATTTAAAACAATACAGCAACATAAATTAAACCACTTTCAAGTTAAATTGCACACTGATCACACATTATCACAATCACCATTTACACAGAATAAACAGTTAACAGCTGTATTCAGAACATATTATTGGAAAGTATAACAATTTTAGTTTAGATTTATTTTAGGGATTCTTATGTGTATATTTTCTTAATTAACTTCATTACTTTAATCTACTATAGTATTGTATTTAAAGAAAGGATCCATTTATATAGCGCGCTCATAACTCAACTATTTGTATAAAACTACCATTAACTAATCTGAGATGATGCTGCATCAACTTAAATCCTATAGAAATTGAACAAACATCTGGACCAGATTAAACAGACATGGTTTCACCTGAATCTTTCAGAACTCTCAGAGACTTAAAAATTTATACTATACCATGTTTTAAAGGCATGGCAAACCTTTAGACCGGTCAGTCTCCAAGAGCCCTTAGTAACACAGGTAAAAACCTTTGTCCATGATTTCTGATTCAGGCTATATACCACAATTTAAAATAACACATAATGTGAGACATAGAAGACACAAGCAGTAGTTATTACACTGGATCATTTAAAAGGAACCTGTTGCAATAAAAAGGTTAGTTTACAGTGCAAAATAAAGCATGTGTTGGACCGCTGAAAATGTAAATGTTGCTCTCTTATTTTCAAACAAAAATTATATTTACAGTATGGATCCTTTGCAACAAACACACAGGGCAGGGACGATGTGCTGATTGGTGTTTCTATACAATTAATCCCGTATGGGGAATTAACTTTCAAATACTAATGAAGTGACTTTTTGTCTCAGTTATAAAATATACTGAGCTCATCATGCAAACAATGCAACACATTTACACTATCCCACTCTCATAATAAGTGTAGTGGGCTTATAGTATTTTTAAAGCAACAATCATTCCAGGCACACAGTTCCCATGTGAAATAACTTACAATAAAACAGAGTAATAAACTTATACTTCTATGCGACAGAAAGAATAAAGCAAAAAGATTTAAGTAGGTCTATCAGGTACAACCTGTGAGTCATTTCTTTTCTAATATACAGTACTGCTATCTTGCAGAAAGATAAGTCCTACGCTCACTCCCATCACTACTGGACAGCAGCAAGGACTACAGTACACATCAGCCCCAATATATGGTAAAAACCAAAGAAAAACAAGTTACCTGCGTTCTCTCCTTAATCCCTATGTATTTTTAAAACCTCCATTTGTTTAAAAGTACTGCTATCTTATATATACACATATACATATACATGTACATATATACATACATATACACATATATACATACACACACATATACATGTACATATATTGGTCACTCAGGACATGAACTCACATTTCCCATACTGCTGACTCAGAGTGGGGACACTACTAACTTACCAAAGTGTGTCCCCAATATAGACAAACAATCACCCACAAAGAACACTTAAGACAAACAAAGGTGACCAGGAGAAAGAGAAGTTTGGGTTATACTTATAGATCTACAAACCGTGCTGCTCAGAACACCTATAGACTTATTAAACCGGAGACCTCTTATGGTCTCAAAAACCTGTATCTACCTGAGATACCCTGTATCTATCTTAGATACTAACCTGGGTTACCAAAACCCTATAATAAACCGGAGACCTCTTATGGTCTCAAAAACCTGTATCTATCTTAGATACTAACCTGGGTTACCAAAACCCTATATATATTTAGACCAAATGTCTAATAAACCGGAGACCTATTTACAGTCTCAATATAACTAGAGTCCTTACACCTTTCCTATCTACTGGATACAGTCTTACTGAACCAAAGGGGGGTCATAGACAATCAGCGTCAAATAAGACACAAAAAGGCTACTCACCGCAAATGGTTTTGCTGATCCAACTTCTATCCCACTTCTAGACACCAAGCTGAAAGGGTTAATGTTGTAATGGACTCTAATCCCCTCGGTTCTCGATCCCTCGGTCACCATAATCAACGTTGATGGAGAATCATTGTAAGCAATAACACACGGACAACAGCTTTACAAGACTCTCAAATGAGTGTATTCCAGAGCTGGCTTTTATACATAGTTTGCTTACATTAGCCATGGTATATGCCATTCATTACAGTACAGACTATAAGATTTATTACTTCCTTATATTACGTTATTCTGACAATGGAAAGATAAGCTTTTGCATACGTCTGGAAAAGAATATCCTTAAAATCGGAATGGGCAAGACATCCTGAAATTTAGCATTGTCTTACATCCTATAGAAGAAATAACTTAGTCTGTCACAGTCAGCATATTATGTAAGTATTCAATATCCCTTCAGTCAGCAATAATCATGTTATAAACCTTATAAAAGCATAAAATACATATAAACAAGTTAACTATTTAATATTCTTACACTTTCAGACTGGTATGACCGTAGGCGAAATTTGCATAAATTGATATCGCTGATGTTGGTATAATATCAAACAGTGGTTGCGACAAAAGACAAGACTCTTCTGACTAGGGAAAAAGTGATCTGATTATGACATCGTAATCTAAAAAAAAAAATAAACAAAAGCTTACGGCAGCTGAGGTTCATAGTTGGTCTCCCATACAAGTACTAATCAGGCCCAAGTCTGCATAACTTCTGATATCTGACGAGATCAGGCGCTTTCAGACTGGTATGGCTGTAGGCGAAATTAGCAGAAAGTGATCTCGCTGATGTTGGTATAATATCAAACACTGGTTGCGACAAAAGACAAGACGCTTCTGACTAGGGAAAAAAGTGTTCTGATTATGACATCATAATCTAAAAAAGAAATAAACAAAAGATTACAGCAGCTGAGGTCCCTATTTGGTCTCCCATACAATTACTAATCAGGCCTAAGTCTGCATAACTTCTGAGATCTGACGAGGTCAGGCACTTTCAGACTGGTATGGCCGTTAGCGAAATTAGCAGAAAGTGATCTCGCTGATGTTTGTATAATATCAAACACTGGTTGCGACAAAAGACAAGACGCTTCTGACTAGGGAAAAAAGTGATCTGATTATGACATCATAATCTAAAAAATAAATAAACAAAATCTTACAACACCTGAGGTTCCTAGTTGGTCTCCCATACCAGTACTAAGCAGGCCCAAGTTTGCATGACTTCTGAGATCTGGCACTTTCAGACTGGTATGGCCGTAGGCGAAATTAGCAGAAAGTGATTTCGCTGAAGTTGGTATAATATCAAACACTGGTTGCGACAAAAGACAAGACGCTTCTGACTAGGGAAAAAAGTGATCTGATTATGACATCATGATCTAAAAAAGAAATAAACAAAAGCTTACGGCACGTGAGGTTTCTAGTTGGTCTCCCATACAAGTACTAAGCAGGCCCAAGTCTGCATGACTTCTGAGATCTGACGAGATCAGGCACTTTCAGACTGTTATGGCCGTAGGCGAAATTAGCAGAAAGTGATCTCGCTGATGTTGGTATAATATCAAACACTGGTTGCGACAAAAGACAAGACGCTTCTGACTAGGGAAAAAAGTGATTTGAGTATGACATCATAATCTAAAAAAGAAATAAACAAAAGCTTACGGCACGTGAGGTTTCTAGTTGGTCTCCCATACAAGTACTAAGCAGGCCCAAGTCTGCATGACTTCTGAGATCTGACGAGATCAGGCACTTTCAGACTGTTATGGCCGTAGGCGAAATTAGCAGAAAGTGATCTAAGCTGATGTTGGTATAATATCAAACACTGGTTGCGACAAAAGACAAGACGCTTCTGACTAGGAAAAAATGTGATCTGATTATGACATCATAATCTAAAAAATAAATAAGCAAAAGTTACGGGACCTGAGGTTCCTAGTTGGTCTCCCATACAAGTACTAATCAAGCCCAAGTCTGCATGACTTCTGAGATCTGACGAGATCAGGCACTTTCAGACTGGTATGGCCGTAGGCGAAATTAGCAAAAGTGATCTCGCTGATGTTGGTATAATATCAAACACTGGTTGCGACAAAAGACAAGACGCTTCTGACTAGGGAAAAAAGTGATCTGATTATGACATCATAATCTAAAAAAGAAATAAACAAAAGCTTACGGCACTTGAGGTTCCTAGTTGGTCTCCCATACAAGTACTAAGCAGGCCCAATTCTGCATGACTTCTGAGATCTGACGAGATGAGGCACTTTCAGACTGGTATGACCGTAGGCGAAATTTGCATAAATTGATATCGCTGATGTTGGTATAATATCAAACACTGGTTGCGACAAAAGACAAGACGCTTCTGACTAGGGAAAAAAGTGTTCTGATTATGACATCATAATCTAAAAAAGAAATAAACAAAAGATTACAGCACCTGAGGTCCCTATTTGGTCTCCCATACAAGTACTAATCAGGCCCAAGTCTGCATAACTTCTGAGATCTGACGAGATCAGGCACTTTCAGACTGGTATGGCCGTAGGCGAAATTAGCAGAAAGTGATCTCGCTGATGTTGGTATAATATCAAACACTGGTTGCGACAAAAGACAAGACGCTTCTGACTAGGGAAAAAGTGATCTGATTATGACATCATAATCTAAAAAAGAAATAAACAAAAGCTTACGGCACCTGAGGTTCCTAGTTGGTCTCCCATACAAGTACTAATCAAGCCCAAATCTGCATGACTTCTGAGATTTGACGAGATCAGGCACTTTCAGACTGGTATGGCCGTAGGCGAAATTAGCAGAAAGTGATATCGCTGATGTTGGTATAATATCAAACACTGGTTGCGACAAAAGACAAAACGCTTCTGACTAGGGAAAAAAGTGATCTGATTATGACATCATAATCTAAAAAAGAAATAAACAAAAGCTTACGGCACCTGAGGTTCCTAGTTGGTCTCCCATACAAGTACTAAGCAGGCCCAAGTCTGCATGACTTCTGAGATCTGACGAGATCAGGCACTTTCAGACTGGTATGTCCATAAGCGAAATTAGTAGAAAGTGATCTCGCTGATGTTGGTATAATATCAAACACTGGTTGCGACAAAAGACAAGACACTTCTGACTAGGGAAAAAAGTGATCTGATTATGACATCATAATCTAAAAAAGAAATAAACAAAAGCTTACGGCACCTGAGGTTCCTAGATGGTCTCCCATACAAGTACTAATCAGGCCCAAATCTGCATGACTTCGGAGATCTGACGAGATCAGGCACTTTCAGACTGGTATGGCCGTAAGCGAAATTAGCAGAAAGTGATCTCGCTGATGTTTGTATAATATCAAACACTGGTTGCGACAAAAGACAAGACACTTCTGACTAGGGAAAAAAGTGATCTGATTATGACATCATAATCTAAAAAATAAATAAACAAAAGCTTACAGCACCTGAGGTTCCTAGTTGGTCTCCCATACAAGTACTAAGCAAGCCCAAGTCTGTATGACTTCTAAGATCTGACGAGATCAGGCACTTTCAGACTTGTATGGCCGTAGGTGAAATTAGCAGAAAGTGTTCTCGCTGATGTTGGTATAATATCAAACACTGGTTGCGACAAAAGACAAGACGCTTCTGACTAGGGAAAGAAGTGATCTGATTATGACATCATAATCTAAAAAAGAAATAAACAAAAGCTTACGGCACCTGAGGTTCCTAGTTGGTCTCCAATACAAGTACTAATCAAGCCCAAGTCTGCATGACTTCTGAGAACTGACGAGATCGGGCACTTTCAGACTGGTATGGCCGTAGGCTAATTTAGCAGAAAGTGATCTCGCTGATGTTGGTATAATATCAAACACTGGTTGCGTCAAAAGACAAGACGCTTCTGACTAGGGAAAGAAGTGATCTGATTATGACATCATAATCTAAAAAAGAAATAAACAAAATCTTACGGCACCTGAGGTTCTTAGTTGTTCTCCCATACAAGTACTAATCAGGCCCAAGTCTGCATGACTTCAGAGATCTGACACTTTCAGAGTGGTATGGCCATAGGCAAAATTAGTAGAAAGTGATTTCGCTGATGTTGGTATAATATCAAACACTGGTTGCAACAAAAGACAAGACACTTCTGACTAGGGAAAAAAGTGATCTGATTATGACATCATAATCTAAAAAAGAAATAAACAAAAGCTTACGGCACCTGAGGTTCCTAGTTGGTCTTCCATACAAGTACTAAGCAGGCCCAAGTCTGCATGACTTCTGATATCTGACGAGATCAGGCACTTTCAGACTGGTATGGCCGTAGGCGAAATTAGCAGAAAGTGATCTCGCTGATGTTTGTATAATATCAAACACTGGTTGCGACAAAAGACAAGACACTTCTGACTAGGGAAAAAAGTGATCTGATTATGACATCATAATCTAAAAAATAAATAAACAAAAGCTTACAGCACCTGAGGTTCCTAGTTGGTCTCCCATACAAGTACTAAGCAAGCCCAAGTCTGTATGACTTCTAAGATCTGACAAGATCAGGCACTTTCAGACTTGTATGGCCGTAGGTGAAATTAGCAGAAAGTGTTCTCGCTGATGTTGGTATAATATCAAACACTGGTTGCGACAAAAGACAAGACGCTTCTGACTAGGAAAAAATGTGATCTGATTATGACATCATAATCTAAAAAATAAATAAGCAAAAGTTACGGGACCTGAGGTTCCTAGTTGGTCTCCCATACAAGTACTAATCAAGCCCAAGTCTGCATGACTTCTGAGATCTGACGAGATCAGGCACTTTCAGACTGGTATGGCCGTAGGCGAAATTAGCAGAAAGTGATATCGCTGATGTTGGTATAATATCAAACACTGGTTGCGACAAAAGACAAGACGCTTCTGACTAGGGAAAAAAGTGATCTGATTATGACATCATAATCTAAAAAATAAATAAACAAAAGCTTACGGCACCTGAGGTTCCTAGTTGGTCTCCCATACAAGTACTAAACAGGCCCAAGTCTGCATGACTTCTGAGATCTGACGAGATCAGGCACTTTCAAACTGGTATAGCCGTAAGCAAATTTTTCAAAAAGTGATATCGCTGATGTTGGTATAATATCAAACACTGGTTGCGACAAAAGAGAAGAAGCTTCTGACTAGGGAAAAAGTGATCTGATTATGACATCATAATCTAAAAAAGAAATAAACAAAAGCTTACGGCACCTGAGGTTCCTAGTTGGTCTCCCATACAAGTACTAAACAGGCCCAAGTCTGCATGACTTCTGAGATCTTACGAGATCAGGCACTTTCAGACTGGTATGGCCGTAGGCAAAATTAGTAGAAAGTGATCTCGCTGATGTTTGTATAATATCAAACACTGGTTGCACAAAAGACAAAGTATCGCCTCGGTTCGAAAGTGATCTGATTAAGCGACATCATAATTCCAAAAGAAATAAACAAAAGCTTACGGCACCTGAGGTTCCTAGTTGGTCTCCCATACAAGTACTAAACAGGCCCAAGTCTGCATGACTTCTGAGATCTGATGAGATCAGGCACTTTCAGACTAGTATGGCTGTATGCGAAATTAGCAGAAAGTGATATCGCTGATGTTTGTATAATATCAAACACTGGTTGCGACAAAAGACAAGACGCTTCTGACTAGGGAAAAGTGATCTTCGATTATGACATCATAATCTAAAAAGAAAATAAACAAAAAGCTTTACTTCTCACACCTGAGGTTCCCAGCTTGGTCTCCCATACAGTACAGCAGGCCCCCAAGTCGCAACGTGACTTCGAGATCTGATTTGTGACCAGGCACCAGACTGGTATGGCCATAGGGCAAAAATTAGCAAAAAAGTGATATCAGCTGATGCTGGTATAATATCAAACACTGGTCATACAAACACAAGACGCTTCTGACTAGAAAAAGTGACTCGATTATGACATCATAATTCAAAAGAAATAAACAAAAAGCTTACGCACCTGAGGTTCCTAGTTGGTCTCCCCATGGCCAAGTACTAATCAGGCCTGGGAGTCTGTACGAGACTTCAGAGATCTGACACTTTCAGGACCTCGTATGGCCATAGGCAAAATTAGTAGAAAGTGATCTCGCTGATGTTGGTATAATATCAAACACTGGTTGCGACAAAAGACAAGACGCTTCTGACTAGGGAAAAAAGTGAACTGATTATGACATCATAATCTAAAAAAGAAATAAACAAAAGCTTACTACACCTGAGGTACCTAGCTGGTCTCCCATACAAGTACTAAGCAGGCCCAAGTCTGCACGACTTCTGAGATCTGACGAGATCAGGCACTTACAGACTGGTATGGCCATAGGAAAAATTAGCAAAAAGTGATATCGCTGATGTTGGTATAATATCAAACACTGGTTGCGACAAAAGACAAGACGCTTCTGACTAGGGAAAAAAGTGATCTGATTATGACATCATAATCTAAAAAAGAAATAAACAAAAGCTTACAGCATCTGAGGTCCCTAGTTTGTCTCCCATACAAGTACTAATCAGGCCCAAGTCTGCATAACTTCTGAGATCTGACGAGATCAGGCACTTTCAAACTGGTATGGCTGTAAGCGAAATTTGCAAAAAGTGATATCGCTGATGTTGGTATAATATCAAACACTTGTTGCGACAAAAGACAAGACGCTTCTGACTAGGGAAAAAGTGATCTGATTATGACATCATAATCTAAAAAAGAAATAAACAAAAGCTTACGGCACCTGAGGTTCCTAGTTTGTCTCCCATACAAGTACTAATCAGGCCCAAGTCTGCATGACTTCTGAGATCTGGCACTTTCAGACTGGTATGGCCATAGGCGAAATTAGTAAAAAGCGAACTCGCTGATGTTGGTATAATATCAAACACTGGTTGCGACAAAAGACAAGACGCTTCTGACTAGGGACAAAAGTGATCTGATTATGACATCATAATCTAAAAAAGAAATAAACATAAGCTTACGGCACTTGAGGTTCCTAGTTGGTCTCCCATACATGTACTAAACAGGCACAAGTCTGCATGACTTCTGAGATCTGACAAGATCAGGCACTTTCAGACTGGTATGGCTGTAGGCGAAATTAGCAGAAAGTGATATCGCTGATGTTGGTATAATATCAAACACTGGTTGCGACAAAAGACAAGACGCTTCTGACTAGGGATAAAGTGATCTGATTATGACATCATAATCTAAAAAAGAAATAAATAAAAGCTTACGGCACCTGAGGTTCCTAGTTGGTCTCCCATACAAGTACTAAACAGGCCCAAGTCTGCATGACTTCTGAAATCTGACGAGATCAGGCACTTTCAGACTGGTATGGCCATAGGCAAAATTAGTAGAAAGTGATCTTGCTGATGTTGGTATAATATCAAACACTGGTTGCGACAAAAGACAAGACGCTTCTGACTAGGGAAAAAAGTGTTCTGATTATGACATCATAATCTAAAAAAGAAATAAACAAAAGCTTACAGCACCTGGGGTCCCTAGTTGGTCTCCCATACAAGTACTAATCAGACCCAAGTCTGCATAACTTCTGAGATCTGACGAGATCAGACACTTTCAGACTGGTATGGCCGTAGGCGAAATTAGCAGAAAGTGATCTCGTTGATGTTTGTATAATATCAAACACTGGTTGCGACAAAAGACAAGACACTTCTGACTAGGGAAAAAAGTGATCTGATTATGACATCATAATCTAAAAAAGAAATAAACAAAAGCTTACGGCTCCTGAGGTTCCTAGTTAGTCTCACATACAAGTACTAAGCAGGCCCAAGTCTGCATGACTTCTGAGATCTGACGAGATCAGGCACTTTCAGACTGGTCTGGCTATAAGCGGAATTAGCAGAAAGTGATCTCGCTGATGTTGGTATAATATCAAATACTATTTGCGACAAAAGACAAGACGCTTCTGACTAGGGAAAAAAGTGATCTGATTATGACATCATAATCTAAAAAATAAATAAACAAAAGCTTACGGCACCTGAGGTTCCTAGTTGGTCTTCCATACAAGTACTAATCAGGCCCAAGTCTGCATGACTTCTGAGATCTGACGAGATCAGGCACTTTCAGACAGGTATTGCCATAGGCGAAATTAGCAGAAAGTGATCTCGCTGATGTTGGTATAATATCAAATACTATTTGCGACAAAAGACAAGACGCTTCTGACTAGGGAAAAAAGTGATCTGATTATGACATCATAATCTAAAAAAGAAATAAACAAAAGCTTACGGCACCTGAGGTTCCTAGTTGTTCTTCCATACAAGTACTAAGCAGGCCCAAGTCTGCATGACTTCTGAGCTCTGACGAGATCAAGCACTTTCAGACTGGTATGGCCATAGGCGAAATTAGCAGAAAGTGATCTCGCTGATGTTGGTATAATATCAAACACTGGTTGCGACAAAAGACAAGACGCTTCTGACTAGGGAAAAAAGTGATCTGATTATGACATCATAATCTAAAAAAGAAATAAACAAAAGCTTACGGCACCTGAGGTTCCTAGTTGGTCTCCAATACAAGTACTAAACAGGCCCAAGTCTGCATGACTTCTGAGATCTGACGAGATCGGGCACTTTCAGACTGGTATGTCCGTGGACGAAATTAGCAGAAAGTGATATCGCTGATGTTGGTATAATATCAAACACTGGTTGCGACAAAAGACAAGACGCTTCTGACTAGGGAAAAAGTGATCTGATTATGACATAATAATCTAAAAAAGAAATAAACAAAAGCTTACGGCACCTGAGGTTCCTAGTTGGTTTCCCATACAAGTACTAAACAGGCTCAAGTCTGCATGACTTCTGAGATCTGACGAGATCAGGCTCTTTCAGACTAGTATGGCCATAGACGAAATTAGCAAAAAGTGATATCTCTGATGTTGGTATAATATCAAACACTGGTTGCGACAAAAGACAAGACGCTTCTGACTAGGGAAAAAAGTGATCTGATTATGACATCATAATCTAAAAAAGAAATAAACAAAAGCTTATGGCACCTGAGGTTCCTAGTTGGTCTCCCATACAAATACTAAGCAGGCCCAAGTCTGCATGATTTCTGAGATGTGACGAGATCAGGCACTTTCAGACTGGTATGGCCGTAGGCAAAATTAGCAGAAAGTGATCTCGCTGATGTTTGTATAATATCAAACACTGGTTGCGACAAAAGACAAGACGCTTCTGACTAGGGAAAAAAGTGATCTGATTATGACATCACAATCTAAAAAAGAAATAAACAAAAGCTTACGGCACCTGAGGTTCCTAGTTGGTCTCCCATACAAGTACTAAACAGGCTCAAGTCTGCATGACTTCTGAGATCTGACGAGATCAGGCTCTTTCAGACTAGTATGGCCATAGACGAAATTAGCAAAAAGTGATATCTCTGATGTTGGTATAATATCAAACACTGGTTGCGACAAAAGACAAGACGCTTCTGACTAGGGAAAAAAGTGATCTGATTATGACATCATAATCTAAAAAAGAAATAAACAAAAGCTTATGGCACCTGAGGTTCCTAGTTGGTCTCCCATACAAATACTAAGCAGGCCCAAGTCTGCATGATTTCTGAGACATGACGAGATCAGGCACTTTCAGACTGGTATGGCCGTAGGCAAAATTAGCAGAAAGTGATCTCGCTGATGTTTGTATAATATCAAACACTGGATGCGACAAAAGACAAGACGCTACAGACTAGGGAAAAAAGTGATCTGATTATGACATCATAATCTAAAAAAGAAATAAACAAAAGCTTACGGCACCTGAGGTTCCTAGTTGGTCTCCCATACAAGTACTAAGCAGGCCCAAGTCTGCATGACTTCTGAGATCTGACGAGATCAGGCACTTTCAGACTGGTATGGCCATAGGCGAAATTAATAGAAAGTGATCTCGCTGATGTTGGTATAATATCAAACACTGGTTGCGACAAAAGACAATACGCTTCTGACTAGGGAAAAAAGGGATCTGATTATGACATCATAATCTAAAAAAGAAATAAACAAAAGCTTACGGCACCTGAGGTTCCTAGTTGGTCTCCCATACAAGTACTAAGCAGGCCCAAGTGTGCATGACTTCTGAGATCTGACGAGATCAGGCACTTTCAGACTGGTATGGCCATAGGCGAAACTAGCAGAAAGTGATCTCGCTGATGTTGGTATAATATCAAACACTGGTTGCTACAAAAGACAAGACGCTTCTGACTAGGGAAAAAAGTGATCTGATTATGACATCATAATCTAAAAAAGAAATAAACAAAAGCTTACGCACCTGAGGTTCCTAGTTGTTCTTCCATTACAAGTACTAAGCAGGCCCAAGTCTGCATGATTCTGAGATCTGACGCAGCAGATCAAGCACCTTCAGACTGGTATGGCCATAGGCTGCACCGAAAGTATGTTTTTGATCTCTCATTGGATGTTGGTATAATATCGCAATATTCGGTTGCTTTACAAAGACAAGACGCCTCTTGACTAGGAAAGGATCCTGATTATGACATCATAATCCAAAAAGAAATAAACAAAAGCTTACGGCACCTGAGGTTCCTAGTTGGTCTCCCATACAAGTACTAAACAGGCCCAAGTCTGCATGACTTCTGAGATCTGATGAGATCAGGCACTTTCAGACTAGTATGGCTGTATGCGAAATTAGCAGAAAGTGATATCGCTGATGTTTGTATAATATCAAACACTGGTTGCGACAAAAGACAAGACGCTTCTGACTAGGGAAAAAAGTGATCTGATTATGACATCATAATCTATAAAAGAAATAAACAAAAGCTTACTACACCTGAGGTTCCTAGCTGGTCTCCCATACAAGTACTAAGCAGGCCAAGTCTGCATGACTTCTGAGATCTGACGAGATCAGGCTCTTTCAGACTAGTATGGCCATAGACGAAATTAGCAAAAAGTGATATCTCTGATGTTGGTATAATATCAAACACTGGTTGCGACAAAAGACAAGACGCTTCTGACTAGGGAAAAAAGTGATCTGATTATGACATCATAATCTAAAAAAGAAATAAACAAAAGCTTATGGCACCTGAGGTTCCTAGTTGGTCTCCCATACAAATACTAAGCAGGCCCAAGTCTGCATGATTTCTGAGATGTGACGAGATCAGGCACTTTCAGACTGGTATGGCCGTAGGCAAAATTAGCAGAAAGTGATCTCGCTGATGTTTGTATAATATCAAAGACTGGATGCGACAAAAGACAAGACGCTACAGACTAGGGAAAAAAGTGATCTGATTATGACATCATAATCTAAAAAAGAAATAAACAAAAGCTTACGGCACCTGAGGTTCCTAGTTGGTCTCCCATACAAGTACTAAGCAGGCCCAAGTCTGCATGACTTCTGAGATCTGACGAGATCAGGCACTTTCAGACTGGTATGGCCATAGGCGAAATTAATAGAAAGTGATATCGCTGATGTTGGTATAATATCAAACACTGGTTGCGACAAAAGACAAGACGCTTCTGACTAGGGATAAAGTGATCTGATTATGACATCATAATCTAAAAAATAAATAAACAAAAGCTTACGACACCTGAGGTTCCTAGTTGGTCTCCCATACAAGTACTAAACAGGCCCAAGTCTGCATGACTTCTGAGATCTGACGAGATCAGGCACTTTCAAACTGGTATAGCCGTAAGCAAATTTTTCAAAAAGTGATATCGCTGATGTTGGTATAATATCAAACACTGGTTGCGACAAAAGACAAGACGCTTCTGACTAGGGAAAAAGTGATCTGATTATGACATCATAATCTAAAAAAGAAATAAACAAAAGCTTACGGCACCTGAGGTTCTTAGTTGGTCTCCCATACAAGTACTAATCAGGCCCAAGTCTGCATGACTTCTGAGATCTGACGAGATCAGGCACTTTCAGACTGGTCTGGCCATAAGCGGTATTAGCAGAAAGTGATCTCGCTGATGTTGGTATAATATCAAATACTATTTGCGACAAAAGACAAGACGCTTCTGACTAGGGAAAAAAGTGATCTGATTATGACATCATAATCTAAAAAAGAAATAAACAAAAGCTTACGGCACCTGAGGTTCCAGGTTGGTCTTCCATACAAATACAAAGCAGGCTCAAGTCTGCATGACTTCTGAGATCTGACGAGATCAGGCACTTTCAGACTGGTATGGCCATAGGCGAAATTAGCAGAAAGTGATCTCGCTGATGTTGGTATAATATCAAACACTGGTTGCGACAAAAGACAATACGCTTCTGACTAGGGAAAAAAGGGATCTGATAATGACATCATAATCTAAAAAAGAAATAAACAAAAGCTTACGGCACCTGAGGTTCCTTGTTGGTCTCCCATACAAGTACTAATCAAGCCCAAGTCTGCATGACTTCTGAGATCTGACGAGATCAGGCACTTTCAGACTGGTATGGCCATAGGCAAAATTAGTAGAAAGTGATCTCGCTGATGTTGGTATGATATCAAACACTGGTTGCGACAAAAGGCAAGACGCTTCTGACTAGGGGAAAAGTGATCTGATTATGACATCATAATCTAAAAAAGAAATAAACAAAAGCTTACGGCACCTGAGGTTCTTAGTTGGTCTCCCATACAAGTACTAATCAGGCCCAAGTCTGCATGACTTCTGAGATCTGAAGAGATCAGGCACTTTCAGACTGGAAGTACCATAAGCTGAATTGAAGGGCAGCAAAGTGATCTCGCTTTATGTTGGTATAATATCAAATACTATTTTATGGCAAAAAGACAAGACGTTTGACTAGGAAAAGTGGATCTGATTATGACACTGCTAATCTAAAAAGAAATAAATAAAAGCTTACGCAAGTAACCTGGAGTGGGGTTCCTTTGGTTGGTCTCCCCAGCTTTTCGCTGTATACCTAAGCAGGCCCAAGTCTGCATTACTTCTGAGATCTGACGAGATCAGGCACTTTCAGACTAGTATGGCCATAGGCAAAATTAGTAGAAAAGTGATCTCGCTGATGTTGGTATAATATCAAACACTGGTTGCGACAAAAGACAAGACGCTTCTGACTAGGGAAAAAAGTGATCTGATTATGACATCATAATCTAAAAAAGAAATAAACAAAAGCTTACGGCACCTGAGGTTCCTAGTTGGTCTCCCATACAAGTACTAAGCAGGCCTAAGTCTGCATGACTTCTGAGATCTGACGAGATCAGGCACTTTCAGACTGGTATGGCCATAGGCGAAATTAGCAGAAAGTGATCTCGCTGATGTTGGTATAATATCAAACACTGGCTGGCGCATAAAAAGACAAGACGTGCCCTGACTAGGGAAAAGTGGATCTGATTATGACATCAAGAATCTAAAAAGAAATAAACAAAAGCTTACGGCACCTGAGGTTCTTAGTTGATCTCCCATACAAGTACTAATCAAGCCCAAGTCTGCATGACTTCTGAGATCTGACGAGATCAGGCACTTTCAGACTGGTATGGCCGTAGGCGAAATTAGCAAAAAGTGATATCGCTGATGTTAGTATAATATCAAACACTGGTTGCGACAAAAGACAAGACACTTCTGACTAGGGAAAAAGTGATCTGATTATGACATCATAATCTAAAAAAGAAATAAACAAAAGCTTACGGCACCTGAGGTTCTTAGTTGATCTCCCATACAAGTACTAATCAGGCCCAAGTCTGCATGAATTCAGAGATTTGACACTTTCAGACTGGTATGGCCATAGGCGAAATTAGTAGAAAGTGATCTCGCTGATGTTGGTATAATATCAAACACTGGTTGCAACAAAAGACAAGACGCTTCTGACTAGGGAAAAAAGTGATCTGATTATGACATCATAATCTAAAAAAGAAATAAACAAAAGCTTACGGCTCCTGAGGTTCCTAGTTAGTCTCACATACAAGTACTAAGCAGGCCCAAGTCTGCATGACTTCTGAGATCTGACGAGATCAGGCACTTTCAGACTGGTCTGGCCATAAGCGGAATTAGCAGAAAGTGATCTCGCTGATGTTGGTATAATATCAAATACTATTTGCGACAAAAGACAAGACGCTTCTGACTAGGGAAAAAGTGATCTGATTATGACATCATAATCTAAAAAAGAAATAAACAAAAGCTTACGGCAACTGAGGTTCCTAGTTGGTCTCCCATACAAGTACTAAACAGGCCCAAGTCTGCATGACTTCTGAGATCTGACGAGATCAGGCACTTTCAGACTGGTATGGCCATAGGCAAAATTAGTAGAAAGTGATCTCGCTGATGTTGGTATAATATCAAACACTGGTTGCGACAAAAGACAAGACGCTTCTGACTAGGGAAAAAAAGTGTTCTGATTATGACATCATAATCTAAAAAAGAAATAAACAAAAGCTTACGGCACCTGAGGTTCCTAGTTGGTCTCCCATACAAGTACTAATGAGGCCCAAGTCTGCATGACTTCTGAGATCTGACGAGATCAGGCACTTTCAGACTGGAATGATCGTAGGCAAAATTAGGAGAAAGTGATCTAGTTGATGTTGGTATAATATCAAACACTGGTTGCGACAAAATACAAGACGCTTCTGACTAGGGAAAAAAGTGATCTGATTATGACATCATAATCTAAAAAAGAAATAAACAAAAGCTTACAGCACCTGAGGTTCCTAGTTGATCTCCCATACAAGTACTAAGCAGGCCCAAATCTGCATGACTTCTGAGATCTGACGAGATCAGGCACTTTCAAACTGGTATGGCCATAAGCGAAATTAGTAGAAAGTGATCTCGCTGATGTTGGTATAATATCAAACACTGGTTGCGACAAAAGACAAGACGCTTCTGACTAGGGAAAAAAGTGTTCTGATTATGACATCATAATCTAAAAAAGAAATAAACAAAAACTTACGGCACCTGAGGTTCCTAGTTGGTCTCCTATACAAGTACTAATGAGGCCCAAGTCTGCATGACTTCTGAGATCTGACGAGATCAGGCACTTTCAGACTGGTATGGCCGTAGGCTAAATTAGCAAAAAGTGATATCGCTGATGTTGGTATAATATCAAACACTGGTTGCGACAAAAGACAAGACACTTCTGACTAGGGAAAAAGTGATCTGATTATGACATCATAATCTAAAAAAGAAATAAACAAAAGCTTAAGGCACCTGAGGTTCTTAGTTGATCTCCCATACAAGTACTAATCAGGCCCAAGTCTGCATGAATTCAGAGATTTGACACTTTCAGACTGGTATGGCCATAGGCGAAATTAGTAGAAAGTGATCTCGCTGATGTTGGTATAATATCAGACACTGGTTGCAACAAAAAGACAAGACGCTTCTCTGACTAGGGAAAATGATCTGATTATGACATCATAATCTAAAAAGAAATAAACAAAAGCTACGGCTCCTGAGGTTCCTAGTTAGTCTCACATACAAGTACTAAGCAGGCCCAAGTCTGCATGACTTGAGATCTGACGAGATTCTCAGGTAACTTCTCAGGACTGGTATAAAATATTAGGCTTAGCGAAATTTGCAAAAAGTGATATCGCTGATGTTGGTATAATATCAAACACTGATTGCGACAAAAGACAAGACGCTTCTGACTAGGGAAAAAGTGATCTGATTATGACATCATAATCTAAAAAAGAAATAAACAAAAGCTTACGGCACCTGAGGTTCCTAGTTGGTCTCCCATACAAGTACTAAACAGGCCCAAGTCTGCATGACTTCTGAGATCTGACACTTTCAGACTGGTATGGCCATAGGCGAAATTAGTAGAAAGTGATCTCGCTGATGTTGGTATAATATCAAACACTGGTTGCAACAAAAGACAAGACGCTTCTGACTAGGGAAAAAAGTGATCTGATTATGACATCATAATCTAAAAAAGAAATAAACAAAAGCTTACGGCTCCTGAGGTTCATAGTTAGTCTCACATACAAGTACTAAGCAGGCCCAAGTCTGCATGACTTCTGAGATCTGACGAGATACGGCACTTTCAGACTGGTCTGGCCATAAGCGGAATTAGCAGAAAGTGATCTCGCTGATGTTGGTATAATATCAAATACTATTTGCGACAAAAGACAAGACGCTTCTGACTAGGGAAAAAAGTGATCTGATTATGACATCATAATCTAAAAAAGAAATAAACAAAATCTTACGGCACCTGAGGTTCCTAGTTAGTCTTCCATACAAGTACTAAGCAGGCCCAAGTCTGCATGACTTCTGAGATCTGACGAGATCAGGCACTTTCAGACTGGTATGGCCATAGGCAAAATTAGCAGAAAGTGATCTTGCTGATGTTGGTATAATATCAAACACTGGTTGCGACAAAAGACAAGACGCTTCTGACTAGGGAAAAAAGTGATCTGATTATGACATCATAATCTAAAAAAGAAATGAACAAAAGCTTACGGCACCTGAGGTTCCTAGTTGGTCTCCCATACAAGTACTAATCAAGACCAAGTCTGCATGACTTCTGAGATTTGACGAGATCAGGCACTTTCAGACTGGTATGGCCGTAGGCGAAATTAGCAAAAAGTGATATCGCTGATGTTGGTATAATATCAAACACTGGTTGCGACAAAAGACAAGACACTTCTGACTAGGGAAAAAGTGATCTGATTATGACATCATAATCTAAAAAAGAAATAAACAAAAGCTTACGGCACCTGAGGTTCTTAGTTGATCTCCCATACAAGTACTAATCAGGCCCAAGTCTGCATGAATTCAGAGATTTGACACTTTCAGACTGGTATGGCCATAGGCGAAATTAGTAGAAAGTGATCTCGCTGATGTTGGTATAATATCAAACACTGGTTGCAACAAAAGACAAGACGCTTCTGACTAGGGAAAAAAGTGATCTGATTATGACATCATAATCTAAAAAAGAAATAAACAAAAGCTTACGGCTCCTGAGGTTCCTAGTTAGTCTCACATACAAGTACTAAGCAGGCCCAAGTCTGCATGACTTCTGAGATCTGACGAGATCAGGCACTTTCAGACTGGTATGTACGTAGGCGAAATTAGCAGAAAGTGATCTCGCTGATGTTGGTATAATATCAAACACTGGTTGCGACAAAAGACAAGACGCTTCTGACTAGGGAAAAAAGTGATCTGATTATGACATCATAATCTAAAAAAGAAATAAACAAAAGCTTATGGCACCTGAGGTTCCTAGTTGGTCTCCCATACAAGTACTAATCAGGCCCAAGTCTGCATAACTTATGAGATCTGACGATATCAGGCACTTTCAAACTGGTCTGGCCGTAAGCGAAATTTGCAAAAAGTGATATCGCTGATGTTGGTATAATATCAAACACTGGTTGCGACAAAAGACAAGACGCTTCTGACTAGGGAAAAAAGTGATCTGATTATGACTTCATAATCTAAAAAAGAAATAAACAAAAGCTTACGGCACCTGAGGTTCCTAGTTGGTCTCCCATACAAGTACTAATCAGGCCCAAGTCTGCATGACTTCTGAGATCTGACGAGATCAGGCACTTTCAGACTGGTAGGGCCGTAGGCGAAATTAGCAGAAAGTGATATCGCTGATGTTGGTATAATATCAAACACTGGTTGCGACAAAAGACAAAAGGCTTCTGACTAGGGAAAAAGTGATCTGATTATGACTTCATAATCTAAAAAAGAAATAAACAAATGCTTACGGCACCTGAGGTTCCTAGCTGGTCTCCCATACAAGTACTAAGCAGGCCCAAGTCTGCACGACTTCTGAGATCTGACGAGATCAGGCACTTTCAGACTGGTATGGCTATAGGCGAAATTAGCAGAAAGTGATCTCGCTGATGTTGGAATAATATCAAACACTGGTTGCGACAAAAGACAAGACGCTTCTGACTAGGGAAAAAAGTGATCTGATTATGACATCATAATCTAAAAAAGAAATAATCAAAAGCTTACTGCACCTGAGGTTCCTAGTTATTCTCCCATACAAGTACTAATCAAGCCCAAGTCTGCATGATTTCTGAGATCTGACGAGATCAG